GATTGGTGTTTCTTTGAGGGTTTAGGATTCATGTATAGCGAGACGCGACAGCGAACGATGAAACGAAGCCCGTGGTCACGCAAATCGAACGTTGTGCGCGCGAGCTACAGATTGCCGGGCGATTGGCAAACCAGTCCCGCGTTCTACGATAGCACCTTGCTCTACTTTTTTTTTAGGCAGTGTAATAAGAAAATTAAAAAGTAGAACTCCCTCATTGCTACATATATATCCGCCCAAAGCAAGTTCGCGGATATGACTCAATAAACAACTTGCAGCTGTCTGACCGTTAGAAAACTAGTAAGATCAGATTTCCTATTTCTAAAACAAGCGAGCCGGATAATATTGAATGTGTCATTTTTATTTACCTACTGCATAGTGAAGTGTTGGCAGCTGCGAATTGACTCATGAAAGCATGTATTCATTTTTCATCATCTGACACTCAAAAACCACTGTTACACAGGTTTTGTTTTCTTCTATTGCAGGCTGTCCGTCTCAAGACCGAACACATCCCGACTATGTGCCCTCGATTTTCGCCTTCAAGGCTCAGACAGATGTGTCGAGGAAGATAGCTCGTCACGGTCGACTCCAGGAACGAGTGAAACGACAAAATGAGCAAGCCCAGTCAAGAGACGACGCTGCTACTGCCAAGGGATCCAAACTTAGCCATGAGGAACTTCCCTGCACCGAAGATGCAGCAACAGCTGATGCAGGTGCCAACACCGAAATGACAGGAGGCCAAGTTGAGGTTCTGCTGCAAGAAAATGAGAGCCTCAAGAAGCAAGTGTGCGACCTTAAAAATGAGCTCGCGAAGACAACTGAAACTTTGAGGGGCTTCAAAGCATCCAATGAGAACCTCAAAAGAAGCCTTGAGAGCAACACCCCCACGAAAGATGCTCTTAAAGATGACCTTCGTGTAAAGTTCTACACTGGTCTCATGTCGCGGAATATGTTCCATGCTCTTCTAAGCTTTATTTTATCGTTTTGGAAACCCGACACACAGACCTTCCTCGAGCCAGAGGAGCAACTTGTGATGGTTTTAATGAGGTTAAGACTTGGGCTGCTGACCGAGGACCTGGCATGCCGTTTCCGGATTTCAGCATCTAGTGTGAGTGTAATTTTTCACAGGTGGTTGGACGTGCTCGCGTGCAATTTGGGGAACCTCTTGATTTGGCCATCACGAAGAGCTATCCACTGCAACCTTCCAGAGGTCTTCAGTGACCCCATTTTTAAGGACGTTAGGTGCACAGTGGACTGTTCAGAAAGCTTTATTCACAAGCCATCCTTCATGTCTGCCAGGAGCCAGACATTCTCCCAGTACAAACACCATAACACTGTTAAGTTCTTAGTAGCTGTCTCTCCAGCAGGTTCCATAACGTTCATCTCAAAGGCTTGGGGTGGGCGTGTATCCGACAAGGAACTCACTTCAAAATGCGGACTTCTGGACAAGATTGAGGAGGGCGACGTCATCTTGGCTGACAGAGGCTTCAAGTGTGAGGAACTCTTCGCAGCCAAGGGTGCCTCAGTGCTGATGCCGTCTTTCACCAAGGGGAAGAAGCAGCTGTCGGGCGAGGAAGTGGCCCTGTCAAGGAAGCTTTCCCGGGCCCGCATTCATGTCGAACGTACCATTCAGAGACTGAAGACATTTCGCATCTTTCAAATGGTCCTCCCCATCTCGTACGTAAAGAAGGTTGGGGACGTAGGGCTGAGCACCATTGATAAGACCCTGATTGTGTGCTCCGCACTGGTGAACCTGCAAAGCCCCCTCATCGCAGGAGTGGGCCAGAATGACCGATAAATCTGGCATAACGTGGTTTGCAGTGGTGTGTATCGCATTTTCCGGGCTATAGTCCATGGAATATACGTGTTCAAAAGTTAAGGCTGTGCGGACTGTCGACGCCTCCAGACTACACAGGAATTTTGTTTTTCAAGATTGTTTATTATGATGAGACGCAACGGATTTTGTGAATGAGATTATGTTGATGATATATGTATAATACAAGCTTGTTTGTGAGCTAAGAAAGGTTCGGGGTACACCTAAGCACTTCTTACGAGCTTTGAATGCGAAAGCAAGAGTGCCGTTCCTCCGCTCTTTTATTTCATGTACAGCATACTTGCGTCGACGGTTGAATGCGCACGCTTCGCTTGCCACGCTGACTTTGGGCGTGGAGTGGTGGAGGTGCTAATTGAAAGTGACGCGCGGCGGCTTTGTATCACTGCCATTTTGCGTGGCTTTCTGCGTGGTTTCAAAACTGGGATGCCTCAGATCGCGGCTTCGAGAATTTATCTGAAGTTTGGCGCGGCTGATGACGTCGGATCGCTCCATGGGACAGTTATTGCTTTCGCATTAAAAGCAGACATCTGTCAGTGTGCGCCGTGTATGAGATGTTTGTGTTGACTAAGCACCAGGTGCGTATTATGCACGGCGTGCGGACTATCTAAGCAAAAACTTTTATTTTTGAACCCAAATTTGCCCCTTGTGTTATGTACTGTGGTCTGGAGCCTGAAGATAAAAGTCATGCAGCATATCTAGTAATTCCCGGTGTGTCTTTTTTACTTCCTTGCGTGATTGGTCTGCTTGTGCCTTGTAATCGGGTCGATCTACAGAACTGCTGGCGAAAAAGAAATCTCGTTTGGTCGGGTCAAGAGCACTCCCAATGTCACTATTCGCTTGTGCCGTATTCTTCAATATTTACAAAGATCAGATTTCAGATTGTAGTGAATGCTGGAAAGGCTAGTATTAGACAAAAGCAAACAAGATGGGCATAATGTCATATGTGAAATGCGTAAATGAAAGGTTTACATATCATTGGGGTGAATAAAGCTCACAAACAAATGTTGCAAGGGGAAGGTCTCGGATCCTCCTTTATTACATTGAACAAATAAAGCATCACTGCAGTTTAGAGGTGTGGATTTAAATGACACACAGTTGGAATTGACCCTTTCACGCTTGAATTTCGCTTTAGTTAAAGATATCTATTGTAGCTTCGAAAAAAAAATTTAATGTAAAAATCCACAATTCAGTATATTATCTTTTACAACAAACAAAACCAGCACAAGAACATTAAAACTGGCAAAGCAGCATTTTCAAGCATTCTGAAGTGTCCATGGTCATGTTAGAATGCTCCGGTACTACTACTTGCCGGGCCCTAGCCAACTTCATCCATGGGTTGTCTCGAATAGTCAAAATTCTTAAAACCTGCAGTTCACAATGTTTCTGTAATTTTTCATTTGAGGCACGAGATGGTAGGTACCCCATGCTTGCAACAAGCACAGTCGTGGAGGCACTGAATAGCTCCACGCAAGTAGGCATTAATTTCTGAGGAGTGCCGTCTCCTGGCTTACTTTCGATTTACTGGTGACGCCAAAACTCGTCGCAAGGCAGACGGGGAGCCCACCAATGCAAACAAACTGCTGTTATTACCTGTGTCTTTGCCGCTGTTGTCTGAGCAAAGGGAAGAGGAGCATTTAGGAAAGAGTCATGCTTGGAGGTCATTCGTGATAGGAGAGGATGGTAGAAATTATAATAGTTATGAGCCATTCTTACCGTGCTTTGAAATATTGTTGTATTGCTACATTCCTTTTTATACTTACTCTTTGTGACAAGGTCGCACATGATAACGGCAGTTTGTTTGTGTTGATGGGCTCACTCTGTCTGCTTCACGTGGACGAGACCCGATGTCAGCACCAATTCAGATGTAAGCCACCAGTCAAGCACTCCTCAGAAAAGAAAGGCCGGCTGGCATGGAGCTGTCTAGTATCTGCATGACTGTGCATGTGTCTTTCAGAGGATCAAACATTTGCATTTTCATCCAAAAGACAAGATAAGAAATCTTTAAATAAATTGTGACAAAGTGTGCACTAAATATAAACATTTTCGGGTAGGCTGTGAGCAGTCTAGGACAAAAAAAAAACAAAAAAACATTCAGCGCATTACATCTCTTGGGCATAACAGTGAAAAGAGTTCACTTAAAATGAGGCGAGACTCAACAAGTGTTGCTTCATCAGTAGTGAAAATGTTAGCCTAAATACTTCATTCAAAATGAGATCACTGCAGTGTATAAAGATAAATCCCTAAACTTCCTCAATGCAGTCTTGACAATCTGAGCAGATCCAGATCTTGGGCCTCCGTTTCAGCCCCAGGCACTTTAAATGAGCTACTGCTCCACATGCACTGCACTGCACTACAGCGCCAGTTTTCGCTCCTTTGCAGATGCAGGACTTCTTGGCCCTTTCAAGTTTCTTTTGCAAGTCCCTGGAGCGAAACTCTAGAAACACATGGCTAAAAAAAAATAGCTCTGCCTTTCCAACTGCTGTATCCCAGAAAATATTGTTGAAATGTATCATCTCAACGCTAATGTCGACTCCGGTGTACACCACAAAAAAAGCTCTCTCTACACCACTCAGCGCCATCTGCGCCTGCACCTGCGCATAATGGTCGTGAGTGGCTTCAAGCTGCAGATCCTTTGTCAAATAAGACGGCAGCTTAGTGTCAGGGTCTCGCAGCTTCTTGCCCTTGCACGTAGAGGGGCACTTGATCTCTAAGACTGCTTTAGTGCAGCACGAGCAGGTGACTAGACCGTCAGGCGAAGCTCCCAGGAACGGCTTCTCGGGACAGACAAAGAGGCCTGTGTTCTCAACTTTAAAGTCCCTGTGATTTCGTTCCTCGGATAAGACGAACGCCCTCCGAGCATCACCCTCACTCGCCTTTCCATGTCTTAGACTTGGTACATCGGGAGCCTTGACATACCCCATGATCTCGGACACAATACCTTCCTGTCCATTGCGGCACGAAAGTACCCTCCCAAGGATTGATGCAGTTATCCTTCCCTGCCTTTGCTCAAACCAGGTTCCAGAATGGGCCTGACCACGCGTGCCCACCTCGATTTGCCCACATTGCAGGGTAGTCAGTTTCAAACCCTGAGCTGCCACTTGATCATGAGGGGTGTACATCTGTACAACGGAGTCCGGAAACATGACACTGGGAGCTGCAAGGTCTAGTCCCTCCGAGTCGCTGCAAGTATCTGTATCCTCGCTGTCTGTCAGTGAAGAAAGCAGCAGGGTGCTAGGAGCTATTTCCTAAAAAAAGAAAAAAACATCCTTAATGCACACTGCTGGCCACTAGAAACATGATGAACACTAGTGGCGTAAAACAACAGCACCGGCCAGGGACCCCGGGACCGGGGGAAGGGGGGGGGGGGGGGGGGGGGGGGCAGTGGGGGCCATGCCCCCACTCCAAACTGTTCCGACCGCCCCCCCCCCCCTTTCTTGTCCCCTCCCACCGCCCGTGAGGCTGTTGCATGTTGAAGCTGCACTCCATAGGCGACGAGGCCCCACAGACTAATCCAACATGAAAGACAAAACATGTGCCAACACCAGGCTAAACCGCGTTGGAGCATCTGCTGTGCTGCGACTACCGAAGCACTCCCTGTCGGCGCTCGTTAGTGTCATGATGCAGTACTTCGCCTCACCGCTCCTATATATATATATATATATAAAGAAAGAGAGAGACAGAGATGCAGGGTAACGGTGGAAAACAAACCAGGATTTATTCAATGTTTTGACCTGGAAACGTCTTCGTCAGGAAAATGATGAAAATCTGCCTCAGGTCGAAACGTCGAATAAACCTTCCTGGTTTGTTTTCCACCGTTACCCTGCATCTCTGTCTTCTACGCCTTTGGCCTCCAAGTCAACATGCCCCTATATATATATATGTATATACACAAAGAGAGAGAGAGGTGAACCACATGATGCGACATGAACCCCCACATGTCGCCTGCACACATCAGATATATTTCCAGAGCCCCTGGTACTGGCGTAAAATCACACCAGGAAGGTCACATAAGTGCTTGTTATGGCTGCGAGTGTCAATTATAAGCCTCAAGGATTCAATAACGTGTTTAGGTGGGCCAGTTGACACATTGCAAGGGGTATAAAGCGCAGAAAAAACATGGACCGAGACACGAAGACAACGACACAAGGCGCTATCTCATCTGAAGTTTATTTGAGCACGCAGCTTCCACTAGGACGACACCGTCAGGGCGTCTCGCCGTTCATTTCAGCAGATTCCTTTGTACCTTCATCATTCAACAGCACAAAAGTTTTGGCAAAATACAAAAACAAGGCGTCACACGGGCTACATGAGGCTTTTGAGATTAGGGCTAGGGGAAACAAGTGCGTCAGCGAAAGGTCACTGGCCCTATCTACGGACGAGTACGAGTACTTAAAGGAATAATGAAGCCAATTTCGGATATTTTTTTGGCGATTGAACTGGGTTCCAGGCACGTCTCAGGCCACGTTGCCCAAATTTCAGCCGAAACCGGCGCTTGTGTGCCGCGCAAATCAATTAAACAGTCGAGGTAATAATCGTACCAGGATCGACTGGGGCGACGCCCCGAGAGTTGCGGGAGAAGCGAAGCTCACGTGACCGTTGCAGGGCAAAGAAGCACGACGTCACAAGAGACACGTCAGCGATTGGTCGAAAGAAGAGACCTGCCTTCGGTCACGTTTTGGTTCGTGATTTTTAGGGATACTGTTCTCATTTTTGCTTAAATAACCATGAAAAGTATAAATCGGCCGGAAATAATTACTAAACCGTAAATAAAACAGCATAATTGTTTTTCTCTTTGCTACGCTGGACGCGAAACAGGCAACGAGCAACTATGGGCAAAAACAAAAAAAGGAAACACGCGGGAGACGTTTGGTTTTGGTTTCAGATGTCGGTGTCGTGTTTACTTTGGGAACACAGTACACGAAGGATTCTGCAAAATGGTAGTCATGCCAAATTTGAGGGCTGTAGATGGGTGTTCTAACGGTCGACTAAAGACCAGTATTCTTTCAGGCGACGCTAGTTTGCATAAGTGGGTTGCCGATCGTGTTCTTTGACGACGAAAAGAGAGGACGTCCGACTTTGGTGAAAACCAAAAATGGTGCTGTTTATTTTCTCCTTCTTGGGGAGCGTCCCCCGCAGAGTAACCGGTTTCCGGAACGGCTGAGACGCTGCCGCTTTCCCCTCGGCATCTCCCCCGTGTCCCTACCCTTCGGCAACGCGCTGCTCTCATCTCGCCCGCACGAATGTTGCTCACTGCTTTCGTGCTCCGGAGCCTGTGGGCCGCTCGTTGCCGGCTGGGCGGTCTCCGTCGGGTGATGGTGGAGGCCGCCACACACAGACTAACCTAACACCAATCCGTTGGTGTTAGGTTAGTGAAGGGAAGCCTGAACTCGCTCGCGAGAGCGGCAATGTCGTCCATGTTGACAGATTCGACGAAACGACTGCGCCACCGCGCTGCTATAACACAACCGCAGTAACCAGAGTCTCGATCTCCTAAATACTACCGATACCGACTATTCACACTTGACGTCACTCCCTACGTCACCTCCGTTTTCGGAGGCCCAGAAATGAGAACGGAGATAGTTCAGTTTCGGTTTCTTCAGTTCTTTCGTAGGCACAGAAATGCACGTCACAAATGTCTACAAAAAATTAGGCAGCGTGCTAGGTTCCCAAGAAGCCTAAAAACATCATTTAAAAAAATTAAAGAAAATTGTTTTCATTGTCTCTTTAAAACATGAGCTGGGCAGGGATTGATTGATGACTGTGCGTTCCCGTTGGGAATAATAGTGTGTACTTTTTCGAATAAACTTCAGTTGAGAGTGCGCTTTGTGTCGTTGTCTTTGTGTCTCGGACCGTGTTTGTTCGACGCTTTATACCCTCCCCAAGGATTCATTCTATTGTAACCAGGATTTGGTTACAAGGGGCCCGCCCATGAGAAAATGCAATGGACGGGGCAGCAGTGGGGGAGGTCTCAGCAAAATTGAATATTTCAGGCATCGCTATATGCTTGCCCGGAATACTCTCGCTAACATTCTGCATTAGCTCTATTGTTGCTTTCGGTGCAATGCTGACCTCGACAGGCTACAAAATTGATGCCCTCTGACCAGCATGACTCGTGATCACTGAAAATCGTCATCAAATAAAAGCTTATTGCTACGAATGCTGTAAGGTTCCGGAACCCCTTTTGTTGTCTTACTTTTTGCACAACTAGAGGCCCTGCGCTAACAGTTTTGGGGGAGACATGTGGGTGTTCTCTCGGGCATGGAGTCGCAGATGACCCCCCGGCGAGGGGGCCATTGTATGTCGCGGATGGCAGTCTGCGCAACCACCCGAGAGCCGCTTTTCTTTGCTGGCCATGGCTGGAGCGTTGTGTTCGACGGCGGTAGCCCCTTGTTTTCTGTCGGTGAAAGTGTGTTGTTTTCTTTGTGCTGAAGACGGACCTCCCCCATTGACGGGTTTGTTTTGCCCTCTCGTGAGTGTCGGGGTGACCGATGTTAACTGTATCCGCGCTTCCAATCAGTGTCAGGATGCCCTCTGTGAGTTAACGCAGCTGGGTGTGGCGTGCCAGGCCTGTGCGGGAAGGCAGAGAGAGGGTGACGCGCTGAAGCTGTAAGAGTACAGCCGAGACAAGGAGAGGGGTCTTCTGGTTTGGTGCCGCTGGAGAGAAAGGAACCGATCTCTAATGGCGGCCAAGTGCAGGGCTCGGGTTGCCAATGTTCATATTTGTATAACTCGTGAGCTAAATTGTCCTTTATTAAACTGTTGCAAAGAAATACCTGCGTAAACAGTTGTCTGGCCCGACCCGCTACACCACCGCCACCGTCCAACGCAAAGCATGCTCCTCCACACCATAGAGGAGGAACCACAGTTTACAACCTAGCAAGAACCTTATTAATTCCGTCATCCACAGCCCCTTCGTTTGTGGATTGGCAAAAGGGGCTGCAAACGGTGCCGTAACATGCAGAAGAAGTTTTTAATTGACAGCATAGGTCTCTTCGGTCTACATTGCTAAATGATGAAAGCTGCAATCGCTGATAGCCGACTAAATCACTGGAATGAGGCAAACATGATAATCCACCGTAGGAACGCCTGCCTCCTGTGGAGTGCGCCCACGAGTTTTGTTCAGTGGAATCCGAGCTTAAAGCGGCCGTACAGTTTGTTTGTTGCGAAGTTATGCCAAAACGAGTGGCGTATTCAGAGGGGGAAGATTAGAACGCTGAAGCCCCCCCCCCCCCCCCCCCCCCATTTCCGCATCCCTAGTCATGGATATCCCAGCCCCCGCCCCCGCCCCCCCCCTTCTGCGACAAAAATTCCTGGCTACACCACTAACCTGATTCTGCTCCCAGTCAACCGAAGCTTTGTGAATATGCCCTTTGCCTGAGAAAGTTTTGATATTGAAATGCATAATATGCAGACGAAGAAATATTGATCACATGGCTAATTGAGCCAACTTTAAAACAATGGCGCTTCATTTCATACGACAAGTTATTCACATATGTCTGAAACACCCAATTTTTCTTTCTCTCTGCTTGTAAATCTTTGAGGAATGTTGATTTGTTTGATTACTAGCAGTGATAATAACATATAATATATACGGCCCTTTTGCTGCCTTTACTTTATCAAGTGTCGGTTTCAGCACACCAGTAAGCCGAAATAAACATGTGTCAAGACAGCATACCTTCACTCTCTTCAGGAATGTTTGCACCTGGTCATCTGTTGCAGTGGCCAGCTGACGCTGCTTTGGGGCTTCCGAGGCTGAATCCCCAGTACGCTTCTTTTTTCTCGCCGTCTCTGGCTTGACGAACCGAATGTCAACGACTTCAGCAGCCTGCATGAGAAATCCATAATTAAGTTATGCTTCCTTCTGGAATAACACCTTTCTAATACTTTTTTTAAGATAACGAGACAAGCAACTGGCCGTATCACTTCTGCGCGCGTTGCAACGTTTCTCTTTTTTTCTTTTAACAGTAACATGGTAATGACCACGTCATACCTGTGCCGACGTGGACGGGGAAATCCACCGGCACTCCATTGAGGTGGACGATGGGTCGTTGAGTCCGTGTTTGACCTCCGCTTCCACGCGAAAGAGCAGCGCCGACACATGACTGCACGCCTCGCCTAGGCTGTAGCAAAACACACAGATTAGATCACGCACACAGCGCGTTAACTCAACTCCTGGATGCCAGTTGAGAAAAAACGCTTACCCGGCCATGCAAGTGCAATGGGCGCTGATTATGGTGCCATCTTTTCCCACAAGAGTCCAGGGCTGGTGCACTTTCTTTACGGTCTGGCTGGCCTCAACGTCGGCAGCGACGAGCACTACCGCGCTATCTCCGACGGCTGCACTGAAGCAGCGCAGTTGCCTAACCTTGCCGCTGATAAAACTATTGTATCCATCTGACAGTTTGAAGCTTTTAAACTGCTCTCTCGAGTAGAAACACGTACCTTCTACGAGGTACGCGTAAATGTCGCCGACGTGCACCAAAGGTAACCGCCTCGAGCCGGTTGAGCCTGTCACGAATGCGTGCTGGCGTAGCGACGGATCAAGTGGGTCCGGCAGCTCTTCCCCGCGGAAAGTCAATTTTTGTCGATACCGCTCTCTGGGTGCGACGTCCAACGCTCGGTAGTAGTCACTGCTCATGATTTAACTATCGTGCGGATAAATTTACGGCACAGCGACCTCGTAGAAACTTAACACGTCCACAGCAAACTCGGTCACTGCCAGCGGGAAAACCAGGAAAACCACAGAGGCGGGCGGACCGGAAGTACCAAACCGGAAGGTTGGTTGGGCTAACCAATCACAGCGCAGGACAAGTTTGTTGCCAAACAAAAAAGGGCGAATACGTGTGTGTATAACGTTTGCGTAGTCATATACGTTACGTAAACCTTGCGTGCATGGGGCCATGTACGTTGCTTGCTCCCCCAGCCCACAGAGACATGGAGTAAGGCTAGAGTTTTCGGCATGAAAAATGAAAGAAAGCATGATATTGGTTCATGATGCTGAGAAACATGCATGATGGCGTGCGACGCATTCTCGGCGCAAGATTGGATCAGATTAACTTAAAAAGATTCGCTGTTGCGCTTTAAACAATCCTTGAACGTCTGTTTCTCTCAGAGCACGTGTCCAGTTAGTTATACTGGTAAGCGGCAGGGACGATAATTATTCGAACGTTCTCATTGTCATTTCGCGAATACGTTCCCCCACTAAATGGTTGTTTGAACTTCGTAATCCGCTTGATTCATTCTGTGGAGATAGCAGGGTTTCCGCTGAAAAACTGCCAGCATTACGACTTTTTTTTTTTTTTACCGATTAAAGTGGTTCGGGTTGCAAACCCTTACGCTCGTATGATGGGATTATGGTGGTTGATGCCTTGTCTGTGCAAATTCGATCTCAAGTTTTGTTTCGAAACTCTCCCTCCGTTTATTCTAAAACGGCGCTTTCCATTTTGGTTTTATTTTTATTGACCCGCGCAATATCTTTTATTCCTGACTATAGCAACCGATTCATAAGTTTCGAATTTCAGATCAAATTTCTGCTATTTTTTAAATTCGAACGTTAAGAGGGAAAAACAATTATATCGTAACCAATGTAACAAATAGAGGCGGAAATTCGTTTTCTGGTAAAGGGAATAGCCAATGTAACCAAACTGCAAAGTATAAGTTATTTCAGCCGAGTTAATCGTCTAGCAAACTGAAGAGGAGTGCCAGGATTTGCTTAATAAACTTTTTGCAAACGGTGTTTTTCCTTTAAACTCAGTGCAAAGCTTTCCAGCATTTGTGGTGTAACAAACTCGCCTAAGAAGAAGAGGTTTATTTAGAAAGACAGAGAGGTCGCTCCATGCAGTTTGCATTAACCAGTTTCTCTGTGCTGGGGAGGGGGAATAGGGGATGCCAAAGAAGGGCAAGAAGAGGAAATTAATAAAAACACATCAAAATAACGTGGAGCTCTATATCTGCTTCTTAAAGACGGCAAATAAGTTGGGTATCACGTAAGAAACGTAATAGGTATTTGGTCGCATCAGCCAGCTTTTCTGGGCTCTCCCACGCTCCTAAGATCTTCTGGAGAGAGAACGGTCGGGAGTCCAGCTGGGAAAGTTCTTCAGTAAGCACCTCCCTTTCCACGTCATAAATTGTGCAAGTGCATAACAGGTGTTCTAGTGACTCCACTTCTTCACATATCAAGCAGTTTGCAGAAGGTTTTTTCCCAATACAGTGGAGATATTTATATGTAAATGCAACGCCCAGCCTGATTCGGTGGAGTACTGATTCAGTCTTTCTTGTAAGGTTTCTGGGCGGTCTGAACTTAAGTTCAGGATCTATATTATAAAGTCGTGGATAGTGGTGAGAAGGGCTTGCCCAGAGGGCCGCACCTATCTTTTTTCCGACCCAGAAAACCGTTGCACCAGCGTCAGTTCTTGAATATGGAACAGAAATGCTAGATATGTTCTCGTGACCGCTCTTTGCTGCTTGGTCGGCGGCCTCATTACCAGGGACGCCACAATGGCTCGGGATCCATTGGAAGTGAATGTGGTGGCCAGCCTGTTGGGCCTGTTGGCAGAGGCTGACTACGGTGAATGTCAGCTGTTCATTTGCTCCACGTCGTAGATAGTGCTGCATGCTCTGGAGTGCAGCTTTTGAGTCAGTGAAAACGGACCATGCTCGTGGTTCGGTGCGTATTATATATTTCAAGCTTTCCCTAATGGCCACCAGCTCCGAGACAGTTGATGAGGTGCGGTGGTCTAGTCTGAATTTAAGCACGACTTGTTCCATGGGTATAACTACTCCGGCAGCTGAGCTTTGATGAGTTGTTGACCCGTCAGTGTAAATGTGAGTTCTGAACCGATGGTGGATATTGATTAATGAGAGGGTCAGTTGCTTTAATACAGTTTGTGCAGTTGACGCTTTTTTCTGTATGCCATCTATATTGAGTGATATTGTAGGGCATGTTAGTGTCCAAGGTGGAACATCCGCCAACTTTGGTGTTTCAAACTGCTTTGGTATATTTGGCTCCTGTTGTATCAAGAATTTAGCATAGCTTGAATCTTTCCTGGATGATTGTATCCGGGCAAGGTGGTGGGATTCATGCCTTGTTAGGTGGCGTAAGTGTACACGTAGTGTTTCTTTTGCACGAAGTGCTTCAATGGATAGGCACCCAGCTTCTGCTATAACACCCAAAGTCGATGTTGAGTGCGGAACACCTAAGCAAGCACGAAGAGCAGAGCCCTGTACACTTTGTAGTCGCTTCAAATTCGTGGTGCACATCCCATGAAGGACTGGCAGGCTGTACCTTAATAGACCCTCAAATAGAGCTTTGTAAAGACGCAGTACTGATGTTACATTCGCACCCCAAGTTGTGCCACATATAAAACGTATGAGGTGTATAAAGCTGGTCAATTTTTTTCTAAGGTGCATAATGTGAGGCGTCCATGTCAATCCTCGATCGATCGATATGCCTAAAAATATGTGGAGTTTTACATACGGAATGGCTTGGCCGGATACCTTGAGGGGGTATTTATCCATGCAACGTCTAGTAAAAGCTATGGCGGCTGATTTCGATGGAGAGATAGTCAATCCGCGATGAAGAAGATATCTATCAATCGTGCCTAATGCTTTTTGAAGACGAGCTCTAACCTGTACTCTGGTAACTCCGGAGGCCCATATGCAGATATCATCTGCATATACCGATGATCGAACTGTTTCTGGAAGTTCCACTCTGAGAGCATTAAGGCATATCATGAATAATGTCGGACTTAGTACGCCACCCTGTGGGACACCCATTGTGACATTATAAAGGGTAGTTTTTTCTTGTGCCGTAGCAACAAAAATTGCCCTGTTAGTTAAGTAACTGGAGATCCACTTGTAGAGTCGCCCTCCTATTTCTAGTTCTTCTAGTGCGTCAAGTATAGCATCATGCGTCACAGAGTCAAAGGCACTCTTGATGTCCAAGAATACGGCTGTGATCATTCGTCGTTGAGATTTTTCGTGTTCAACCGATGTAATTAAATCAATCACCCCGTCTATTGAGGACCGGCCGCGTCGAAAGCCTGACGATTCATTTGAATATAGACCATGATGTTCGAAATGCCATTCTAATCGCGCCAAGATCATACGTTCCATGAGTTTGCCTATGCAACTTGAAAGCGCAATGGGTCGATAGGAAGTGATGGTAAGGGGTGATTTACCTGGCTTTAGTAACGGTATAACTTGAGAGACTTTCCATGATGTAGGTACCTCGCCTTCGTTCCAGGATTGGTTGAAGAGTCGAAGAAGGCATTTGATTGTACTTGGTCCGAGTCGTGCAATTGCCGAGTAGGTAACACCATCTGGTCCAGGCGAGCTTGACTGCCTACATGATGCAAGAGCAGATTCGAGTTCGTTCAGAGAGAAATCAACGTCCATGCATGACAGAGTTGACGGTGGTGTCGGCCGTGGCGTTTTCGGTGTGATTGTGTGTGTAGACTGCGCCTGCGTAATTCGTATACAGAACTGATTCGCGGCCTCTATATCTGAACACTGCATCGATAGAGCTAGTGCCCGAAACGGATAGCGTTGTTGCGGTGTTGCTCGAAGACCTCTTGATATTTGCCATATTCTCGTAGTACGTTTCCTTGGATCAAGTTCTGAGCACATTTTCCGCCAACGACGTTTTGCAAGTTTGTTCAAATGACGTTTGATTTTTTTAGTTACTCGTCGGAACTCACGTAAATCCTCGGGCCTTTTATGCTTTCTAACTCGCCTCTCAGCACGCCGGCGAATAGCCCGAAGTCGCTCATATTCGGCGTTGAATGTAGTTTGGTTAATCGGTAAGGTTGTTTGCTCTCTTGATTGGTTTAATGAACGAGTGATGGCTTCTGTGAATGATGGTAAGTCCATCTCTTGGTTGCATTCTTCGGTCATTTTTTCTTGAAAGTTTGCCCAATTGATATGGCTAATCTCATGATGAGTTTTCATATTTTTAAAATTCCCAAGCCTCGTATAGGTGGGCACGTGATCACTACCTCTTGATTCAATGTCTGCAACCCATGTTGCTTGAGATGCTAGCGATGGCGAAACGAATGTGAGGTCTAGGCAGCTGCTACTTTTAAGATTCTGTATATACGTAGGGCTACCGTCATTCATTAGGCAGAGATGGTGACAGGCAGCAATATCGGCCAATCTCCTACCTCGAGGGTTGGTGTGCGTGCTGCCCCATACAGAATTATGGGCGTTAAAATCACCTGTTAAGACAAATGGCAACGGGTACTTGCTGAGAATGTCAGTGAGGTAGCCTTCGTCAAATTTAGCTTTCGGTGGGATGTACCCAGCAATGATGGTGAAGTTGCCCTTGCCGTCAGTGACTGTAGCCACTATGTACTCATTATCGTGATGTGGTGGAATAACGTGATGCACGTAACTGAGGTCTGTGCGCAGGAGAAGGATGACTCTACTTGGTCCTGTAGTCCGGGTTGAAGAAAGATATTCATACCCAGAAAAACGAAAATTGTTTGGAAGCCTTGACTCACATATGGCCATGACAGGAAATTGATGCTTCTGTGAAAACTGCCTAAGATCAGATAGACGCCCCCTTAGGCCTCTCGCGTTCCACTGGAATATAGTCGCATTGTTGTATCTATCATCCATAGTGAGTGCTGTCATAATTATAATAAATGGTAATTAAGAAGTAACAGTTGAGTTAACTCAACCATTGTTGCAGGAGCGGAGTAAATGTGTCAATGAGTTGGACAATGTAGATGGCAATGGGTGAAGACACGTGTTGAAGCAGTCCACGTAAGGCCTTGATCGCAGCACAAAAGAT